TGACAACTTGTATATAGAGGCATAGATGATAGAAAAATTCCAAGTCGCTTTGGAATTCATAGAGGCATAGATGATAGAAAAGTTGATGTGGATTTAGTTCGTGAACAGGCTCCTCCATTACACTCTATCATTATTAATATAATCTTGATATATCATTTGTATCAAGTGATTTGTTTTATTCATGTTTTGGATATATACATATATTGCGTGCAAGCTTAAATATGAACATGAACGGAAAAAAAAAGTAATAAACACTGTATAAAAAACTCATAACGTACGTACCTTTTTCCATTGATCTGCTTTTGGTTGAATTGATCTTTGATAATATGTTTGTTCTTCATCGTCTGAATCAAGCGGTTGCTTGGTATCCATAGTGTTAATCAGTCAACAAACAAACGGAAATTTCTTTTAATTATTATTTCAAAACACAGAACTTAAGAAATATGTTCATGAAGACCAAAAACAGAGATGTATTTTTCAACAGAGAGATCTTTCTGGTAGTAAACGTTCGTATCTATATAAAATCAGTAAATACACGCATTGAATTTTTATATTAATTAGAGATCAATCTGCTAATTACTATATTTAAATAAGGTAGTATTAAAAACAGGGATAACGGTAATATTGACTATTTTCTAAGAAAAGTTTGACGGATTATTTCTATATTCGTAACCGATTAAATATAATAAGTATCCATAGAAGATTAACGGATTAAATTCAAATTTTAAGATAAATTCTAATTAAATTTAGTGATATTTATTGACATTTTAATAGGTAAGTTAATATTTGATTCCTGGCAAAAGAAAACAGAAAAAGAAGGTTATATTGACAATGACGATTGCATACTTGACCATTTACTAAAGAAACAGTTTCATTGAATCAACTGGGTTCGTCGACCCCGTGCAAGCGCGGAGTTATTATCGTTAGTGTTATATTATTTTTATCCATGAAAGAATGACCCATGTATTGGGTAAGTTCTTTTTGAAACTGTGAAATGAATTAAGTTATTTATTGACACATAAAAGTTTATGGTCAAGTTTTGTAAATGAATGTTTGTTGATATATGGATGAATTTTTTTATATTTTATGTTTTATTTGTTTTATTAGATAGAGTTTTTTTTTTTTTGAACAACAGATGTTTATATTAACTAAAGATCCAATGGGTTAAATCGGTTACAACCAGAGAGATCCTCGACGGTAAAACGATAAACAGAGAAAACTAAGACATGACGAAAGATAAATGTGGCTAAGGAGAGAAGAGACCCATAGAGAAGCTTCACTTGTAGTCCTAAAGCCCGCGTTCGAAGAAACGCAAAGTAGTCGAAATCGTAGTCTATGACTATTTAGTTTTATTAGACTTGAGTATATATGTATATTATGGTATTAAAATGTTGTTTTAACCGTAATCTATGACTATTTAGTTTGTTTGTATTTGTTTTCATCTAAACATCGCAAGTTTTCTTTTAAAGAGAAAGGAAATAAAATCAAGAGCTTTATGCTCTCAGTCTGAGTGCATGGCTACAGAGTGGACATTTGTGCAATGTTTACATGAGTTATGATTCTTTAGGAATGCATGTCACCATGTAATGTGTAGTGATTGATACATTTAGTTGTGGACATTATCAATATGCAAAATGCAGTCAACACTGTTTTTTTAAAGTAAAAACTAATAATTTCCCTCTTCATAGGAGGGGGTTTTTCGGAAATTAAAGAGAAAAATCAAAGTTAAAAATCATATATATAATGGATTCAAAATCATAACAACTCTGAAAATACAGAACAAACAAATTGAAACTATCATTCACGTGTGCATTAGCGTCTATTCTCTTCTACTTCAAAACTGGTAGGATTTGGTTTATCATCTCTTGCTGCAACAGTGTTGCTGGCATATGCAGCTGGTTCTTCACCTTCGTTTATCACTTGTGTGAGAATGTAAACTGCAGATTTAATAACACAGAGGAAGACATTCTCGAAGGAGGCATCTGGCTTTTGGCAAATAGATGGAAGAATAGAGGGTGTCGACGTATGTGGATTGGACTCACAAACTTTTATTTATTTATAGAGTTTGAATTGTTCTTATGATTTTAAAACGAATAAAGTTTGGATCGTAAAGAAAAAGAGACGAAGAGTCGTAGTAGTGAATAGGTTTAATGAGAACAACAGATTCATTAAACATGTGAAATCAAAACGTTAAAATAGGGTAAGTAAGAGATATAGATGAAGAGACAGAAGAGATAAAAGATGAAGGGGAATGTCTGGTTTTTCTCAAACAATGGATGACACACTGAAGTTCAATAGTCAACGAAAGAGTTAAATAACATAAGAGACGACACATGACCTTAGCCTAAACACAGAGTTTTGTTATCTTTAGATAAGTGCTTTTGAATGGTGTTCTAAATATAAATTACAAACTCACACCATACCACACATATTAATACCAAATCAAAACACATTGATAATGTGGTTGACCGGATAGAATAACACGCGGATCTTACGTGAGTTTTGAAACTCAACCATTATAATATAGTCCCCGCGCAAACACGGTTTCAGAGATATTATTGATGTACTCTATAGTTTTATTATATCTTTTGATGTTTGACATATAAGCTGGACAGATATAGCGTGTGAAGTTTTTTGTATTAGTCAATAAAGTTTTCAAAAGTACCATATATCCGCAAACATTATGCAGTCTTGTTAAATTTCAAAAGTTCTTCTCAATCTTCTCCAATTTTCATAAATTTGCCATTTTTAATATTCTGAGAATCCCATAAACGGAGGTGATAAATAATCATAAACTGAACAGTTCGACCAAAGTAAAGAGAATCAAAAGTTGAGACGCATGCAATAACTTTAGCAATTGAAACAAAAGCTGAAGTTATTTGACTAGAAAAAAAATTAATGAGAGAATCAGAGATGAATAGTTTCTCCGTTTAGATATAGTATATATTAAGCGTAATGCAGAAGGTATTATGAACACTAGAGTCTTTCTCCGCGCTACGCGCGGATATGTAAATAAATAGTTTAGTTTAGGATCATAATTTTCAATATTATGTTTGGATTGAAAACACTGTAATTTTAAAAATTAAGGAAAACTTAGTAATTATTAAATGTCTGCAATTTAAAGAAAAATAAAAAATAGCTTAAATGATCATTATAGATAATGTAAGAAATAAATTATGTCTTTTGAATAAGGGAAGTAGGTAGCGGTGATGTGGACCATAAGTAGTTACGCTGACATCTTTATTTATATAATAAGGATATATATTATAAAAATATATTCTATTATCATATATTGAATTTAGTTATTTAATTTTACTTTTTTGTATTTGTGTTGTACATTACATCCCTATAACTATTGGTCACAACTTTTTCCTCACTTGTGTTATTAAAAACACATATACTAATCACAGATAAAAAATAATAATCTGATTTTAGGTTTTAGTCCAATTTTTTTTAAATCTTCTTAGCCTTGAAAAACAAACTATTTTAAGTTGATATTTTTAACTATTTGAATTTTTAAAATTATTTCTTTCATCTATTTTAATTTTGTGAATTAAAATTATGATTCTATTTAGTATTTTTTCCACTATATTGGTTCCTTTTAGCATAAATCGTGAAGATATGTATATTACTCTCCTGAGTGACAAAAAAAAAGTATATTACTCTCCTTTAGATTAGTATGGAAATACGCACATAAAAAATGGCCTTGCAACAGATGATGAATATATCCTTTGAAAACTTGAATTTGTAAGATCTAACTCGTAAAATTAAGATAAGATGAATTCTCTCTGTAAGAGAATTATTTCAAAGGGTTTAAAATTGATGAAATTATTATCTAATAATTCCTCGTTTAAATTTATATTATCATATATTGAACGATGACCAACAAACAAATAATTTGTTTCAAATTTCATGGCAATATACTAAAACAAAATATTGTCTTAATAGACCTACTACCAATACAATATTATAATGAACTCATATAACATAAAATAAACGTAGCCAAGAATAAATAAAAGTTATATTCATTCATATATGACAAATTCTATACCACAACTGATCATCAAATTTTTTTTGCTAAATTACTTACAATTTAAGCATATATTTATATGTGCAGAAATTAAGGCATAATATTGAGATGTATGAGTGTGTATGTGCCTATAGAAAAATATATGCATACATACTTTTCTGCTGTGAATATGTTTTGAGAAAAGTGTAATTGCTGCTCCACATTATGCTGCTTGTCAATAATATTCGTCCACACAATACTATAGTGAATACATACCATCTTCACTTTTTTAATTCACATCATTAAGTAATAAAATTAGAATACTATTTACACATGTATGATTATTTTTATTTTTGATTATTATAGTTTTATATTAAAATATATACAGTATTTATGTAGTGTATCCGTATTTTAGGAATAATATAATATCTAGCAAATATTATTGTGAAGTAAAATAAAAAAAATTATTTTGAACTTTTAGTTGCAACCTTCTTTTCAGTATTAATCTGCACAGTTATCAAAAATTGTAAAGTTACAAATTCAAGTGACATATAGTTGTAACAATACCAAAATAAATAAATAGAATTTTTAAAAAATGAAACTAAGTTTCAGCTTATTTTTTTTATAAGATTAGATATTTTTAATCATACAAAATATTTTTTTCACATGAATAAACTGAATCCAAAATTGACCAAAATAACAAAAAGCTATTGATTCCTAAACCAATTTATGAGGACATATTTTTATTACTTGTATTTTTTTTCAAAAGTAACTTTCATACAAATGTTTTAATAATTTCTTAAAAGAATGCTGGATGATTTAAATACGGAATTTGAAGAAAATATTTGTTCTCACCACCTTATTTACAATCATTAACTTTCGTTTTAAACCCAACATGTTATTATAAAGCTCTAAGAAATTATTTTCTCTTTTCATACATTTTTAATACTGGGATAATGTACATGATTTCAGTGGTGAAAATGCCGTGTCTCTGCATTGATTAAGTGCATCGAGTCACTGGAAATTAAATTATTCTTTTATATATTGGAAATGAGAAATATAGCAGTAGATAACAACCAAGCTTACACTTATTTTGCGACTAATATCGTTTCTTAAACTGGCAGTTAAAAGACCCTAATCACAACATTAAGTAAAAGCATACATGATCACTTGCGAAGGATTGTTCCCGGATGGAGAAGAGCTTGAGTTTGGTCGGCAAGCAAGAGTTCAATTTAGTAAGATCCTCAGAATGCAATTACTTCATCAAAGGTAAAGCAGCAACTGCAAGATCTTGCCTCTGGATTGCATTAGGCTGCCTGCTCTTATCTCACTTTTGGGCTCTCATATTCTTATGTTTGTTGTGGCAGTATGTTGGGTAACTGGCGAGAGCCCTCACCTATTGCCATATATAAGTCAGAAAATCTAGTGAATGGTACTCATGTAACAATTTTAATCTTCCTCCATGAGTGACATGTGACTAAAATTTGGCTTACATATTTGTGCATTCGTTGACATACTTGGAGAATATTTCAGTAACCTTGGCTTGCTATACAATTTTACTTTGATATTATCGAGTCAATGCTCAAGGAGATATTCCCTTTTCCTGCAACAGAACCATACACAGCCATTTATATTTACAAAAATGCTACATGTTTCCAATCATAAGAGTCAACAACACACCTTCATCAATGCTGAATCCAGCCACAACTAATTTCTTCTCTCAGCAGTTTAGCTTCATTTGTTTCCTTACAGACAACCTCCCTGGAGTTTGACCAAACCATTTATTGTATCGACCATCTGATGGCCATAAGCAAAGAAGATTATGATGGCAAATGATGGCAATTAGCAACCTTGAACAAAATAAAATGTGTTTTAACCAACGAAAGGTCGAGACAAACCTTTGCTTAGTTAGTAGATGTCATCCAATGGCTTGAGATTCTTACTGCAGGTACAATAAAAAATAGAAAAAAAAAACATGCCGTGTAAAGACGTAAACAAATGTTGCAGCACAGAATGTAGCTGATGACCCTTCTACATGGACAACATACCAATTTCTATAATGACAAACCAACATTAATATTTTAAAAGAAATCAGAAGACAGATAAAGCAATTGAAGCCTTACCAATTTCTATAATGACAAACCAACAATAATATTTTATCAAGAAATCAGAAGACAGATAAAGCAATTGAAGCCTTAAGGTCACCGTTACATATCATCATCAAGAACTGTATTAACATTGCAAAGATTCTGAGAAACCGTAAACCCTCCAAATACAGATAAGTTTGTGATACAATTACGTGACTGTCTCGAGGTGTTAACAGCTGCTCTAAAGTTCTGAACTTCTTTCACTCAAAAATATCCGAAAATACATAACCATAAAATATTAGAAGACAGACACGCATTTCAAACGCAGATCATATAAAACAGGAATTAAGCAAACAAAATGTCATCTTTTTAAACTTTGAGATTTATATTACCTAGAAGATCAATTTTCATGATGGTAAGTGTAACGTTGATCAGTCCCCACCACTGGAACTGTAACAGATTATTTCTATCATTATCCATTGATACCATGAAAGAGCGCGTTCATCCTTCTTCTTCACTATCTAGCTCTGTCTTAAAAAGTTTTTGAATTATAAGTTTAAACAAAAAAAACTCAGAAGAGAACTAAAAGGTTTGAAGAAATGAAGCAGTGAGAGAACTAAAAGTTAAATATAAATTCTTGTCACAACATTCTCAAACTTGCAAAAACTTTGAAACAACAATTCTGAGAAACAAAGTTTGATTTCTAAATCTAAGCAGAAAAGTTCATATGATGGAGATGATTAGAAGATAACCTGAGATGCTGTTCACCACCATTTCTCTTTAGGTATAGAAAACAATTTCATGGGGTACACTTCTATTTAGTATCAAAGATACTACATAACAAAGAGCAACAGAATTGATGATCAACATCCATAACGAACCAAAAGTACCCGTCTACAAAAAAAATTAGAGAAGACATTACAAAGCCGAATAACAGAACAAAGCTGTATCCTAAAGAGAATACGTCATCAAGCAGAATAAATATATCATCCAAGCAATCAATCAATGCCAACACACCTTACTCATGCCATTTGAGTGGCTAGAGCTTTGAACAACTTCCTCGAACGAACTTAGAATATCTAGTGCTTCCATGAACTGCTTAGACCGGTCTTTTCCTTTCCCCCCAGCCTTGGAACAGATCAATCTTTCAGAAGTTTTATTCATACGAACTTGAAGGTTAATCTCTGAGCTCTTCTTACAATCTCTCACATTCTTCAAATCCATTTGCTTAGCCTTATCATCTGTCTTCTCAACTACACACAAAGAAGTTGGTTCACTTAGATTCTTGCTCCTCTTTATCTGTCTCTCTAGTAATCCCTGAGTAGGTTTTGATTCACATGAACTCTCTCCTTCCACAATCCGCTGAACAAATCAAGAGATTCAGTTTTGTACTTCCAAAAAACCAACCCAAAAATCAATAATTTTTAAAAACTTACATCGTTACACTGACATTTATCATGAAGTCTCTTGAGAAGATCAAGTTGGCTTTCGTATAAACATTACCTGCAACAAAAAAGAGTCAAACTTTAAAACTAAGATCATGAAGTTATCCAAGAAACAAACTACTGGTACTACTAACCTGCACAGTCTCTGATTGGTTTTTTCTCTGAACTCAATCACTTATTACCAAATTTAACATGTCTAAGATGAAAGAAGTTAATCATTCATAAAAACCTGGAAGAAAAAACAGAGAATTCTTCTAGTTATATCTGAAAAATTGTTTCTTCTGGATACAGAGTTGTGTCCTAAAGTGAGATTTTCAGTAAAAACCTCTTCTTGGTAAAAAAAAAAGAAGCTTCTTTTAATCTGATAACGTATATTTACATGTATATCAGAGTCAAAGATTTGTAATACGATTGCACTTCTTTTTCCTCTTTCTGATATACCCAGATCTTAAGCCTGCCTTCTTCTCTTTGGGATCCATGTAAAAAAACATTCTATTTTCTCTCTGTATAATAGTTAAGTTGTATATAAACAACAATGAAACCGTAATAGTTTTCACTCACTACCTTTTCTTGAGATTCATGTGGAAACACGGAGAAGTGAAGATTCGTGAGATGGGTTGTGTGAGCTCGAAGTAGACCGTCTCTGTAAGCTGACGATGATAGCAAACCATGGTGAAGTTTAGGTGATTTAGAAGAAGACGAAGCAAATATGTTGTTTAGGTTTAGTTGGGTGACGTGGAAGTTTGGTGGCTTGTAATAGGCTGATTATTTTTGCATACCTGGACAGTCCCAGAGCTCTAGAATAAGCCCTTTTAATATAGTATAGATGGTTCATTATTATTTAACAGAGTAAATGGCCAAGCTAGAGTCATCTAAACTGAAAAGACGAGTTTGAACCTTGTGCTTCTACCAGGACAGGTGTTCATGCTTGGACATAGAGCTAAATGAAACATTGTTCTTGAATTCCTCCCAATTGTTTTCTTCAAAATAATAATATATATGAACTATATAACCCCTAAAATGTTGAAAATGAAATTTTATAATAGCTCCCAAAACACACAAGAATAAAAAAAGATAAGACAGTGTAAACTGTTTGATTTTTCCAAAGAGTACATTCACGATCTTCTTAAGCTATTAAGCGTTTTTTATCTCCACCGTGGATTGTTGATGATTCTTTACGGACATTGTTCAAATGCTCGTTCTCTAATCTGTTTTCGACGAATCAGACCAAGAACAAAAAAAAAGAAAAAGAAAACAGAGTTAACGGAACAAAACAGATTGCTGAATCATTGATATGAGTATAATTGATAGATCTTTCTCACCTGAAGAAATTCCATATACCACGGCGAATTATCTCAAGACTAGCAACAACAGCAACCATCGTCTGTGTACTATGCCTGAAGGGGAGGTTGAAATCCAGAACCGTTTGGATCCATGCAAATCTCAGCAGTACATTCAAAATCTAAGATACATGACTTCTAAACATCAGTTTCTCTGAAATATCTTTTGATGGAATCAATATTTCTTTTTTTTTGAGACTCACCATCGCAATGAAGTATACTTCCTTCTGTGGAATGAGGAGTTCGTCCCGGAGCCAGCGGTTTTCGGGTGTCCACTTAAGAAGACCCCAATCATGGACAAAGTCCCAATAAGTACCGAAGATTGCAGCTACAACTGAGAAGATAATGGCTAAAACTCTCCAAGCTATTTGACTTGGCTGGATACTGCAAGCAGTTCTAAAGCAAACCGCCACTATAGTCAAGAAGTACTTAACTCCGTTCCACCTGTGATCCTTTTTTTTACTTTTATCATCGACCAGCCGTCGCATGCACTGCATTGATCGAGTACAAATTAAGTTATTAAATGAAGGCTAGAGGTATTATGTTTTCTTTTGGAGAAAATAAGCTATATATGTACCTGAAGGAGGCGAGAGACGAAAGGGATGACAGCAACTATGAAGAAGAAACCGTTGTACGCATGAGACTTGGTACAAGTGTTCTTTCTGTGTTTGAAGTCTCCCCAACCATAGTAACATATGTAGAACTCGAAGCTTCGCAAAGCTTGAACCTGGCTAGTAAATTGATCGCCCAAGAAGCTATCAGCAAACGATACCTGCATGAGTAAACGAGGGGAAAAAATGGACGGTTCAAGACCTACTATATTTGGAATTTACAAGATTTTTACTTTCTGCTCGACACGCTTATTCGATCTTTGGTTTACCTTATAAAAAGGAGCGGCGATGCAATGAAACATACATGTAAGGTAGAATTTGCGTTTCGAGTGATAAAAGAGTTTGAATGGCAGAAATAGAACCCCAAATATACCCTGCAAAAGTGGAAAACAAAACATATTTACAGAGTTGTTATGATGCCTCCAGTGTTTTAATGGCTGTTGTTTATTACAAAACTGAAAAGTCCAACTCCTGGATTTTGGAACTCACTATAAGTAGGAAAAGAGGAAGAAGTTCTGTAACTAGTTGATAGTCTTTCGTTTCGGGATCCACCTCCATGTCAAGATTTGCAAGAACACAAAGCAATGCAAAGACGCCAATGCTGAAAGCCACAAGCAAGACTTGTCTGTGTCCAAGTTCAGTCCCTTGCTTGAAATTAAATATTTTGGAATAGTTTATTCTGTATCGCCTCCACAAGTATATATTCGCAGCATACATGATGATATGCAGCATGACAAAACCGAACCAGCTGCAAGAAACAGCAGAGAAGACATCAACATCTAAAGCAAAATCGATATAAATATTTAAAGAAGACATGACAAGTTTACTAAAGCTTCTTACCTATAAAGTGGGAACATAGTATTCATGTATACTTCCTGGCCATCATCTTGCAAGATATTTCGGGTGCGGATGATCGCGACAAGAGCTACTATAAGAGAGAAAACGCATCCAGCCGAGAAACCTGAAACCAATATCCTCATAATAAGCACCACAAAGTTTGAACTTTCAAAAACAAATTGATTCAAAGTTTCTGATTTTACCAGTGGAAAATGTAAGTCTGTGCCTCTCTCGTGTTCTTTTAGGCCGTAAAATGCTCATTCCTTTGGTTCGATTATCATTTGCAAAATGCTTTATGAATTCATCTTCAACACTCTTTGTGAGTAGCACGACCTGTCATAACAGAGGATCCAGAGAAGATCAACAATTAAAACAGAGGACTTGACGAGGATTCTTTTCCAGTTGGTTCAACATTTCAACAACTCTTACCTTATCAGAGCCTTTCAGGAATGAATCATCCACCTTTTTCATGAAACGCTTCCTTTCATCGTTCTTAGTTATCTATAAAAATACATTTGGTTGAACACAGTTTCAGTCATATGACTCATATAATATATATAACTCCAACTCAAAGTATCAAACCTTACCTTATCATACTTCTTCAATATCTTTGAGAACGCCTTTGCATTCGAAAAGCTGTATATGCATAATGTAAAACCAATCAATCAAAGACAAATAAAAAATAAAATCAAAAGAATTGCAATCCTACTACGAAACTTATGCGCACCTGTAGTTTTGGAGATCTATTATCTTACGATATAACTCGATGTAATCGTGCTTCAGTTCATTGAATTTCTTAGAATTTTTTCTGCTAAATTTTAACTTGGTCTTATTCGATTCCTGGATATTTCCTCTGGTGTTGTTGCTCGTGAGTCCCTCCGTAGTATGTAAAGGAGCTGCTATCACCGTGCTCGAATCCATTTCATGGACCGATTCTATGGCTCTATCTTCTGAGTGACCAGCTCTGCTCGACTCTCCTTCCTCTACTATGGCTCTATGAGCTTGACTTGGAACTCTCACTACAAATTTGAATATCGATTTGTTAAGGTACGGCACAATACAATTTGTATAAACCAGAACTTATTTTGAGCCAATATAATCCGGTTTGGTTCAGTGCAGTATTGACTTGATGATTGCAACGCCGATCACCGCCACAAACCAAGCATTTTAGTAAGCGCAAAACAGGTTCTTGTTAAAACTATTTATGAAAAGAATGGTGAATGCAAATATATGACCGTAAAATCAAAGTCAAACATGTGACCGTAACTGTTCATTTAAGCGCAAAAAGGATGATTTGTCAGTTTTTCAATAAAAAAATATGACAAAATAAATAATTAAAAATAAAGAAAATTGGAAAGGTTAATAAAAATAATTAAAATAACTTTTAAAATTCTTAAAATTTTAAAAATTACATGTTCAAATAATTAAAAAAAAATTTCTAAAATGAAGAATATCCAAATAATTTTAGAAATTGTCTAAAATTAAAAATTAAATAAAATTGTTAAAATTATAATACATAAAAAGAAAAAATCAAATCTTACGAAACTTTACTTTTTTAACAATTCAAGTAATAGTTTTTGGCATCAGTTCAAGTAATAATTTATTATAAGTTTGAAAATTATTACTTAAATTTAATAAAAAAACTTAAAATTTGAATATTATAAGTTTAATAATTTTACTTGAATTTTCTGAAAAAAACTCAATTTTCTTCAAATTTTAGAAAATTTATAAATAAATATTTGAATAAATTATTATTATTAGAAAGATTAAACTTAATTATTTGAACCATGCAAAAACCTTTTTTAAGTTACGGTTGTTTAAAAATATTTATATTTCTAATTTTTTTTCAATTATTTAATTTTTGTGTTTTTAGTTAAAAATTGATATAAATTATTTTTATCCGTAAATGAACAGTTTTGATTACATCTTAACTTAATGAACAAGTAAGCTAAACTAAATGTATTTTGTGATAAAGATGTATGGTTGAAGATGCTAGTCAGAACTTTAAAGATTTAAAGTGTTACTAAGTGGCACTTTGAAGTTTTTGTACGATTTTTTATACTCTTTCCGTTCAAAAAGATGAATATTCTAGAAATAATATTTGTTTTTAAAAGATGTATTTTTTTGCATTTTCAATGTATAAGTTAATAAAAATTATAAATTTAAAAAATTAATTGTGTTTCTTAAAATCCTATTGGTTAAAAAAATATAGGGATTTGTTATCTTTAATATATGATACATTGTAATCAAAATTTTATGTGTTTTCTTAATATGTGTGAAAAAATTAAAATGTTTAACATTTTGAAACGGAAGGAGTATATGAATACAAGAAGACAGTTTTAGTACGGCATAAATGTAACATTTCCAACAAAAAAATTTTCATTTCGAAACTTACAGAAAAGTTAAATTTAAATAGGTAAAGAAAAAACAAAATTTAAATTTTATTGAAAACCACAATTGATTTGACATAGATTATTGATCTAACAGCACTCAATTATCAAAACTAGTTTGTTTATTTTTTCTAATCGGGTGAGGGGTGATTTTGAACTAATTTTAATCTGGTTTCTTAGCCGGAAACCATGAAACTTAGGATACAACTGGAATATATTTAAAAAAAAAATAAAACTATCAAAGTTTATAAAACCGAACATTAAAAAAAATATTTAAATTTTCGTTGTTTGCTTGTCAAAAGTCAGTGAGTGGTGGAAAAGTAGTTATGTGTCTTTTGTTTGCTTACTGGATTTAGCTCCGACGGGACTAGGAGGAGAGATAGCCGCCGTGGAAGTAGCAATACCAGAATTCAGTGGAGTGATCTCTTCCTCCCTTTCTTCCCGTCCACACTTTTCTGGATTCTCAACTTCACCACGCAAAGCTCTGAAATATATATGGTTTAAAACAATTACTGAATGATCAATATATAATTTTCTAATCATTAAGATATCAAATGATTTATACATATTATGCTTAGAATCGGCCTTGATCAAAGCTTCCAGCTCTCCTTTAAGCTGTTTTTCTTCTTCCAACACTTTCTCGACTTTCTCTTCGTAAAACTTTATGACTTTCTCGAATTCCTTAATTAGTCGCCCGGTAAATTCTGATTCGTACTCCATCTGACACTTCGTCTGGACCTGGCCATCCGCTGTGGTCTCCACCTGCATCGGCCCAGTCGTCGTAGTTGTCACCGTCCATTGCACACCTTCCTCGACGTCATGAGAATTATCGAGTACTCTTCGTCTTGGCCGAGTCGAGAGTTGTAAACAGCTAAATGCGCTGCCCAGAGTCATTTCCCGGTTTAATCCTCCGCCGTGGTGATCCCTGGCGCCACCAGGAGTTAGTGCATTGGCGTGTCCGTGTTTCTTACATTTTTTCAGATCCTTTTTGAGAGAATCGTAATCCATGTAAGCTTGTTGCCACTCTGGCACCATCTGAGACAAAAACTCCTTCCCGAACTTCATTTCGACTCTTGTCTCGAATCTCTCTTAGATTTTTTTTGTTGTTAAAACTTTTATTCTCTTATATGTTTCTATGATGAGAACTGATGAGAAGAGTAAGGATGTATATATACGCCTAAGTTTCTCTAAATTATGGTTTATCATGGACTTGCAATTAACTTAAAACTAATTAGTAATCAAAGTATCGATTTCACTTACTCCTGGTGGCGCCAGGGATACACTTTAATCACACTCAAGCATAAACGATAATGGGTAAAAATATATATTTTCAAGATACCACAATTTGCGACATTTATCTTTACTATATCTATGATTCAGTAGAGTTAGTTAAGTTTTTAGGAAGCCGAACCGACGCAACATTTTGTTTTACTAGTTCTTTCAGATTTGTATCATTCTAGTTTTTTTTTATAAACCACATGTGTGATTGGAAAAAGTAACTGAAAATCAAGACATGTTTGATTTTGACTAATCCCTTATTCACTATCATTTCATGCGAGAGTATTTTATATTCTTAGTGAATGACCTTGATTAATCGCATTGTATCAAGATATATTATAATGTTCGGTATCTCCTCGAACAAGGTGGTTAGCCCGAGAGTATGAAATGTATTCAAACCACCTTGATCTATATATTGTAAAAGAGTAGCTGGAAAATGTTTGACATGTTCTATTTTAATAAATCTATTAATCAGTGTTGTATGTTACTATACTCGAGTAGACAACCATGGTCGCATATTGTATCAAGATCGATACCCTATGGCGACTCAATGTCGGATTTATTATTCACTTAAAGTCACATAACCAAACTGAATAATTACTTGATGTAAAATGGTTACATGCAAATAATTAATTGTAAAATTATAGGTCATTATTTATAGTACTTATATATTCTCTCTGTTTCAATATAAGTGTCACTCTACAGCTATGCACACAGATTAAGGAAACAATTAATTTTACATATTTCCTATATAAAAACACAATTACCCATACACCTAACCATATTTTAACCAATAGAAAAACAAATTACATAATAAAATTAATAAATTTTACATTGAAAACCGAAAACGACACTTATTTTGTAACACAAAAAATTCTCTACAATGACACTTGATATAAAACGGAGGGAGTATGATCTATCGTAATTTACGTTGCATGGGTCTGTTGAACGTAAACCACGTACGTGGGTGAATTTTCTTTTTTTAATAAAAAGTTAAGAACAAGAAAAACAAGAGTACAAATTATTTATTACGAAGATAATTTGTTATTTTTAAGCGATTGTATCATTTGGTCAAGTAGGTCAAATGGTCTGGTTTCTAAAACAAAAAAGGTCACCTTATTAGTTTTTATAGTTAACTAAGTACGATACAGCCGGTCGAACAAATATCATTCATAGTATTAGTATATTAGACCATGTGCAATTGTGTTTTCCAATGGCTCGATTTCCAATTTTAGTTTTAAGTTATTTTATTAGTTTTTTTTCTTTTTTCGTTTTCTTAAAAAAAAAAAAAAATTAGTTAATCGTGAGTCACCACGTGTCGTGGGACATGCGACACAATAACAAGAATCAGCTCAATCAATCCTTAGTTTAGGATTTTTCGGCTTGGGTAACGTTACGAAAACCAAAAAAGTCAATATTATAATATCTTTTTTAAGGATTACGGATATGTACTCGGCGTTGCACTTGCTCTTCGTTCATTCGTTTCATTTTACATGTTATTGTAGAAAAAACATTTTGTTTCAAAATACTTGTCGTTTTATAGTTTCGATGCAAAATTTACTTATATATTTTTATTGGTTGAATTATGGTTAGGTATATAGGTAATTGTGTTTTTTTTATTTTTAAAATATGTAAAATTAAATATATTTTTAATCTGTATGAAAAAATTTAAAACGACAATTAAAATGAAATAAAGAGAATTTTTTTATCCATCAAAATAAGGGTTATGTATTTTATCCATCAAATGTGGTTAGATTCAGTAGTTGTTTCGATTTGATCCAAAAAATCGAATATCCGTAAATCTTCGAAATAAAACAAATATTAAAATCAATATTTATTAAATCAATTAAATTCACAAATACTAAAATTTTAAAGAATAGATATTCGATCACTATGATAAATATATAAATATATAATATATCTTAATTAAATTTAGAAATTTACATATATAAACAAATCATAAATACTAAAAAAATTGGTCCTCATCCGTAATTACTATATGGGGGGATACCATATTAAACGAGACAAAGATGGTTCTGTAGAATCAACAGTTCACCACTGATAGTAGGACCTCGAGTTATCCATCGACAGCTGTGCAGTGACTTCGGTCTATTCGAAATGTCTCATATAATCTTTAAATATATTCATTTATGTTGATATCTATAGCATTGGTTTCAGTATATATGCATAAAACTCTTTGAAATTTATGAATAATATCATTAAACTGTAATGTTAGTTATGATGAATATTCATGAGACACATAGCTAAAAATGTATTTTATTATATTATGATTTAAAACTCTTTGAAATATTCATACCAGTTTCTAGTGATCTCACTTGAATATTCATAATTTCTTTTATGAATATCAGTATTGGGAGTTTCTCCTCTAATCATTCACTAGTAAAATGAAAAAGGAAGAACAAGAGGAAACGAGAGAATATCTACTCTTTTTTTTTAACAACTTTGAGAGAGAATATCTACTTATCTCAAATATAAATAATTACATTAATTACACTAACTAGATATCTTTGTAAACAAAAAAAGAAGACAAGGGTCCTTTTAGAATATTGACTATTAAGACGAAAAACAAGAAAACAATCAACTGAATATTCAAATTTTGTCGACCAAAGCCTGAGCTGTGTAGATGCGGCCACCACGTCGTCCAAAGGCGGACCAAACAAATTTCAGCCAGAGCTATAGTATTAAAATAAATAAAAAACTCTGGATTGGGGACAATTCAGCAGAAATATTTAAGATTATTTAAGAGAAAAACAAAAAACATGAAAAGATGCATGCTTTATACCGTCACATGCACTTACGTGTGCCCCTGACGTCATCAATAGTATTGGCTGGATTTTCTGTTTTTCGTGATATGTGATATAAGTATCTTTCTCAGTCACTGATGAATATTTTTCTGTCTTTCATTGGATGAGCGGATTCCTCAAGTTATCATGTTATCACGTCATTGTCGAGCACGACATATATTTTTAGGATCACGAGTGATTGGATAATGGTAGAGTCAAATGGTGAGAAAATATAATGGGAAAGAGAGGAAATAATTTTGAAAAAAGTTGGAGTAAAACTTCCCACTTGCTTAATGTAAAGAAATAGTTTACTCTACATACCTTCATATTTAGAGCAAACTGGTGAGAAATTTATTCCACTTGATTGGCAGAGAAAAGTGAAAATGAGAGCTAGTAATAACTGAACTGGGAGTAAATACTTACTCTAATTGGTATATACAGTCACACCCATCATGTGTTATGAAAAAGAAATTCATCGCTTTTTCTTTTATTGCTAAAATGTATGCTATTGACTTTCTAAATTTCTAAGTCAATTATGGTTTTTTGAAAAAAAAAAACTGATTAATAGCTGTAACCGTTTACAGTCACACATCCTAAGTTTGATATTTTTAGTTTTCGAAGAAATTTCTTGCATACCTTTTTCTCTAATTTTAAGTGGTTAAAATATATTGTTTAGGAATACCGATTTTAAAAACCAAAGTTTAATGGAAAATAAATAGACACTTAAAAGACAAAATATGACAAAAATACTTTTTTTTTCAATCTCTTCGGCACTTAAATCAGTAACAATCAAAAGAACCCAACAAACATAGTGTTTGATGCTGGAAAGTTGGGAAAAAATAGACTAGTTTAAAGCTCTACGGTCCGAAACAATGAGGGATCCATCGGATATTGACTNCTTTTTTTTTCAATCTCTTCGGCACTTAAATCAGTAACAATCAAAAGAACCCAACAAACATAGTGTTTGATGCTGGAAAGTTGGGAAAAAATAGACTAGTTTAAAGCTCTACGGTCCGAAACAATGAGGGATCCATCGGATATTGACTTTGACAGCAAGTGAAAACACAAGAGAATGGAAAGGCAGAACAAGTGCAGATCTCCTGCTCATGCAGTTTTCCTGCACTGTTTTTGTCATTCATTATTTTATGTTTCTAAAAGCAGTTCAAGCGAGAAATCTACATGCAGTTCAATATTTTCTATCTTTTTGTGAAAAAAAAGTAGGAGATATGCATGCAGATCTCACCCGCTAACATTTGTAGGTTTTGATCTACCTTTTTCACTAATAAATGATTTTACTATAAATACTAACTTTAAATATATTTATCTGACTTTATAAATAATGTACAAAGATTAACTCAAACTATATAGTTCACATCAATATTATTTGTGTCATTTTAAAATTATAAATATGACATTCAGTCGCCTACAAAACACAACATTGTCCAAAGAAAAATATATAACTTTCCTACATAAAACGAGTATTTTATTAAGCTGTACAATATTTTTTAACAAAAAAGATACAAATCTTTCTATATAAATATCAACAAATATTTTAATATTAGTAACATGCTAGTTCTTCAAAGATAATTTTGTTCAACTAAAACATAAATAAAAAAAGTACAAACATCTTATGAAAAATTCAATTAACATTTCGGCTGATCTTACAACATATAAGATATTTATTTTGATATTTTAGTATATTTTTTTATTGTTTAAATATATGATTTATAGTTCTGAACTGATTTTGTCATTCATAATATATAATAAATTGTTTGATCTGCATCTCTCCTGCATGATCCGCTTGATCTGCACTTGTCCCGCTTGATCTGCACCGCTTGATGTGAAATGGTTTTGACCAAAAAAATGTGAAATGGTCAAAAAAGTGGGTTGGAATCCTGGAAGCGAGAGAAGAGGAAACGGCTATCACTAAAGTGTTTTATCCGTGTCGGATATAGATAGTTTAGATCAACTCGGTACAAAACACTTGAGTACTTTTCTCACTATTACATTTTGCGTGCTGTGTCAATAACTCGACAA